ATATATATATATATATTTGTATTGATTTCAGAGAGGAAGGGAGAGGGAGAGAGAGATAAAAACATCCATGATGAGAGACAGTCATTGACTGGCTGCCTCCTGCAGGCCCCCTCCTGGGGATCCAGCCTGCAACCCCGGTATATGCCCTGACTGGGAATCGAACTGTGACCTCCTCCTGGTTCATACATTGATGCCCAACCACTGAGCCACGCCGGCCGGGCCACAAGGCATTTTTGTGAACCACCCTCCAGGGATGACAATTCCACCCACTGCCACCGACGAGGCAACCCCCCTGCCCCCCAGCCTTTGGTGGCACCCCAGAAGGGCCTGCTTCCCAAGATTTATTTTCTGGCCACACTCGTTTCCAAAGACCTAGAAACAACACCGGAGGGTGAGGGGAAACCAACCTGGCAGCTTCCCAAAGCCTCCCAAAGAGCTGTTTTCCCGTGGGAAACGGCCCGAAACGCCTGGCGTTTTATCATGAAACTGTAGCTGGTTTTGAGAACGTGTGCGAACACTGCCTGCCCGCACTGCCCCGTTTATCAGGGAGGGCTCGGCTGATCTGTCCGTGCCAGCTCCAAGGGCGGGTTCACGAGAGAAAGGGGAAAGAGATTGTGCCCACCTGGCCGCAGAGTGGGGTCCCTGGGGAGCGGCCTGGAAGGTTCTACGGGAACTGAGACAGTACTCAGTTCTGTCTCAACATAACTTTCAACATCGTTCACGAGTCGGGATATTCGTCCATGGAACCCACACTGAAGGGGAAGGAAACAATGCCATTTAGGTGGGCAGGTGGGAAACCCAGGGGCCTAGCACCGTGTATCCAGGGCACGTCTGGGACGGAGGAAGACAAGCCCCTGCCAATCATGACTTTTTTTTTTAAAGACATTTTAAAAATATATTTTATTGATTTTTCACAGAGAGGAAGGGAGAGGGATAGAGAGTCGGAAACATCATGAGAGAGAAACATCGATCAGCTGCTTCCTGCACACTCCCTACTGGGGATGTGCCTGCAACCAAGGTACATGCCCTTGACGGGAATCGAACCTGCGACCCTTCAGTCCGCAGGCCGACGCTCTATCCACTGAGCCAAACCGGTTAGGGCAATCATGACTTTTTATGAAGCGGAGAAGCATTTAACACACACACACACACACACACACAACAAAAAGACGAGAGGGAGTGCGCGTTTCACACTAGTTTCTGTGGACTTCCACTTTGCCCTAAATTGCAAAAAGACCTGAAAAATCCAGGTGAAGGAGCCCTTTATCTCTGCATCCACCAAACCCAATCGCATAGCACCCCGTTTCCCCGAGCTTCAGTAGCTCAAAGAGACGGTGAAAAAGATGATACTGAGAATCACAGACAGCCAGCGGTGGGGGCGGTGGGAGTGGGGGAGGCTGGGGCCGGGGCCGGGCCGGGGCCTCAGAAGAAAGAAATCCTGTTTATCCTCCGGCTTAACCCCGACCTAAGCCTCCGCCAGGCCCGCCAGGACTCCTTCCACTCAACCAACTCTTTTTCCGCCCCCATCGCGGCCCTTTGAAGCGGGGATGCCCCCCCTCCCCCGCGCCCCGAGGTCAGGGCGGACACCGAGGCCACAGGTAATGGCACCTGCGCGCCCCCTTCCCGGGACCTGACGCCACGCACCTTCTCGGCGCAGCAAACGGACCGGGCCACCTGCGCTCGACCTGTTGGACCCGCTCAGCGTCTCCCTGTAACTCACAGGCTCGCCCTCCCGTTCCCACCCCCGCCGCGGGTCCAGGGTTTGGG